CACTTTGTCTTCCAACCGTCTCATTCTCTTAATTATTTTGTTTTGTGATCTGCTGTGTATTCTCTACTACTTCTTGTCTCTCTCACCTCTACTCTCTTTCCCTCTTATTCCACTTTTATTTCTACATTTATACTCTCTGTCTCATGACTTGCTTCTCTCTTATCTATATTTTTTATCCATTTTAAATTCTTTCTCGTGAATGTCTGTTTAAAATATTCTGATGTTCTTTCTCTGCGTTTATTTTTCGTTGCTGTCTGTGTCTCATATTCTCTCTCTCTCTCTCTCTCTCTCTCTCTCTCTCTCTCTCTCTCTCTCTCTCTCTCTCTCTCTCTCTCTTATATATATATATATATATATATATATATATATATATATATATATATATATATATATATATATATATATATATATATATATATATATTATAGGTAGTAGGTTGGTAGACAGCAACCGCCCAGGGAGGTACTACCGTCCTGCCAAGTGAGTGTAAAACGAAAGCCTGTAATTGTTTTACATGATGGTAGGATTGCTGGTGTCCTTTTTTCTGTCTCATGAACATGCAAGATTTCAGGTATGTCTTGCTACTTCTACTTACACTTAGGTCACACTACACATACATGTACAAGCACATATATACACACCCCTCTGGGTTTTCTTCTATTTTCTTTCTAGTTCTTATTCTTGTTTATTTCCTCTTATCTCCATGGGGAAGTGGAACAGAATTCTTCCTCCGTAAGCCATGCGTGTTGTAAGAGGCAACTAAAATGCCGGGAGCAAGGGGCTAGTAACCTCTTCTCCTGTATATATTACTAAATGTAAAAGGAGAAACTTTCGTTTTTCCTTTTGGGCCACCCCGCCTCGGTGGGATACGGCCGGTGTGTTGAAAGAAAGATATATATATATATTCCCTTCAGTTTCTGAATTCCAAAAAGACCACCTGCGGAAATAAATACCTTCCCCTGGCTATATATATATTTTGGAATTATCTTGTTTGGGACGTTGTGAGAGAAAAATTCAATCCAAAAAGCTTAATGGGTTCCTACATTTTCCCTAATTTTTCCATTTTTTAAATTGATTTTAGTAAATGGATATAGCAGCACTGGTATATATATATATATATATATATATATATATATATATATATATATATATATATATATATATATATATATATATATATATATATATATATATATATAAACTCTCAAATTTGTAAAATATTATTGTTTAATTAAAAAGGCAAATCCATCGCAACAAATCTGGAAATAAATTCCACATAAAAAGGAAACAAAAAGACAGATTTTGGATCCACACAAAGATTTTTTTCCTTAATTTAGCGTTTGTGCTTTGCTTTTCACTGTTTCTGCTCCCCCTTGCGGATCCCAGTTTTTCCAGTCAGTTTCTATGTGACTGACATCCTCTGTAATTAGTAACTTTACCTTCGTCCTCCTGTGTCTTTCTGAGCGTGCGTACTCAGAGTTGTATGCATTGTGTTTGTACTCGCCGAGTTGTGTTTGCAAAGGGTCGAGTCTCAGCTATCTCGACTGGAATCAACGGGCATTAGGGTTTTTTTTCGCTTCATGAGCCTATCATACCTAGTCTTGTAAGTGCATAGTGAGCTTGCCTTTATCACGTGTGTGTACTCACCTAGTTGAGGTTGTACTCACCTAAAAAATTGTGTGTGTGTGTGTGTGTGTGTGTGTGTGTGTGTGTGTGTGTGTGTGTGTGTGTGTGTGTGTGTGTGTGTGTGTTTGCGTCAGCAGACAGGCAGCAGTGATTGAAACATCTGAAACAAGTTTAGCGTATGTTATGCAAATTTGCTCAACAATTATCTTACGTAAAGTCTTAACTTGATGAGGTTTTGATGAGATCTAAACTAAATATTATTTTAAAAAAAATTATTCATATGAAAACTGGTGAACCTGGGTCGCCTCATTACATCTTGCATATTAACTTTCACCTTAATGTAGGATGTACGTAAAGTCGTGCTTATTACAAGGTAATAGTTTGCCTCATAAAGATATTGTGCTACGAATATCTACCCACGTATCAGGGCTAAGATCTGGACATAAATATCACTTATTGCAATAGTAAGCCAACGAGGCGGCGCATCTCTGGTGATGTGCTCCTGGAGGTAAAATGCATTGCCCTAGGGATCTGTTGTATAAACCAGGATCCTTTCATATTAGTTAATATATGATACCCCCCAAAAAAAAAATTTGCTGCGCGTTGCAGGAGTAACGTCAATAAAGATGCCTAGGTATTGTACCTGTTTCTTACTCATCTTCTTGTCGATAATACAATACATTAATGCAAACTTTCTACTTAATAGAAAAATAACCTCTGTTTTGTGACACAATATACTATTTAGTAAGTGGATTGATCCAAGAAATTGAAGCCTCCATTCCCTTCCTTGGATTAATCCTCATTACCTAACGTTTCGCTGGACGTTGTGTGATCCCTTCCGGGTTTAACACTTCACTCCTGAATATAATCTTACCTGTTGCAGACTCAGTCTAGTTTCATCTAAACAGTCAATGTGTGGCTGGATCACTGTATCACTGCCACGGTCGTGGACAGAACCAGAAATTGTCAGATTTAGTTATCTTTATGAACTGATATAAACTGCCAATACAGTTTTTGTGTCAGCACAAACGATGACAATTTATAATCACAGGTGGTTTCATATCTTTAATGGAAAGTAGCAGTGAAGTGTCTGCCTTTTTTCCTTTTGTTGAAATAAAGTATTTGAAATTCCAGGGTTATTACTAATGGAGTGCTGACGATGATGATTGCTTAGTGAGTCAGTTTTAAAAACCGATCACCTGCAGAAAGGTCATTAAGTGTACATTCCACCTTTACGCCGCCAGTCAAGAAAATTTTAATCCCTAAAATAGGGATTAATGTAACATTTCAGTGCCTGAGAGATATAAATCTCTGTTGTAGGTGCTTCGACTTTAAGAGGTAATTACAATCTGTCTTTGGGTAAACTAGATGCAATCAGTTAAGAATATTTTAAACCCTTAAATGAGAATCAAAGGAAACTCGGCTTATAATGACTGAAAGACACATATCTCTCAGTGAAGATATCCCAGCTTACACCAGTCTGAGTAGATATTTTTCTGTTAATGGTATGTTTGAGTTTTGCAGTTCTGTTTTGCTTTTACTGTTCGAGAGATTCGTAAATGTTGTAGGTCCAACTTATCTTAATTTCACTTACTCTCTGAATGCATCTTACAAATTATACGCTTGCAGTTGCGTCGCACTGAGATGTATGACTGGCAATGGTCAGCCATAATGTATACCGTACCTCAAGGCACAGACTTCGCTAAACGCACCGTAGTCAAGGTACCTCACGTATATACTGTACTTCGTGGGATAAACCAACGAGGCTCCGACACTTCCTTTAGTGATAACCTGGTGTATTTATACCCACCGGTTGGGATAAAAACACGTGAGCAATCACTTCGAACATTTTATGATGGAAACGTCTCGTTTCTGGGACCTTGATCACTACAAATAGTGTTTGCTCACGTGACCTTATCCACAACTACCTCACCCTGGTAATAAGCGTTCTGCAAGACTGCTTCCTCTAGAGTGCCACTGAGCACTCTGAGAGCCGCCTCTCGACTCTAGAGAGCGGCCGTGCGCCCTCCACTACACGCCACAACCCACTAGGACTCACGCCTCTCAACCCACTACCTCCTACTGCCCAACACGCCCTCACTCCTACACTCCACGCATGCCCACCCAAGTGCAGTGTCCCGATAGCGGACTTGTCTTCACATGACCGACGATTTATACGAACTATGAATAAAATCTTTAATTATAAATTACGTCAAATGTATTTAGGTTATTATATCACTATTGTTATAATAATAATTATTATTATTATTTTTAATATTATGCTGATTCTGTTATTTTATCGTTCAATTTCATATATGATAAAATATGCTTAATTAAAATATTTGTGGTAAACCTTTTTTCCAGTTTCACTAAAAATATGGAAAACAATTTTCTTTACGTCAATAATTTGCTTTTGATTTTATCGTTTATATCTTTCATTTCTTTACTCCTTTATCTTCGTTTCATTTATTTTTCACACAGCTCAATTTACAAGCTACGAGATGTTTTCCATTTTCGTTTCATTTCAGAGAGGTTCATTTCACGGAGGTTCATTTCAGAGAGGTTCATTTCAGAGAGGTTCATTTCAGAGAGGTTCATTTCAGAGAGGTTCATTTCAGAGAGGTTCATTTCAGAGAGGTTCATTTCAGGGAGGTTCATTTCAGAGAGGTTCATTTCAGAGAGGTTCATTTCAGAGAGGTTCATTTCAGAGAGGTTCATTTCAGAGAGGTTCATTTCCTGAAGGTTCATTGATGCTGTTGAGGGGCTCCTGATCTAAAGAATTGAACCTGCGTTGTATGACACCTACGGGTTTAGCACTCACCCATGAATTTAAAAAATGAAAAAGAGTGACACACTACCCAGGCTGCGACCCAGACCAGTCGACTAACATCTGTTAGCTTGTCGTCTCAGGAAATATTGTGACTGACGTTCTGAGGGAGAAACAAGACTTGGAGACTTGATGATGGATTTGTGGAAAAATGTCTTTGTTTATGTCTCTCTTTGACTGTCTGTCTATCTGTCTCTGTCTGCCTGTCTGTCTTTCTCTGTCTGTCTGCCTGTCTGTCTATCTGCCTGTCTTTCTGTCTCTGCCTGTCTGTCTGGCTGTCTGTGTCGGTTTCTCTCTCTCTCTCTCTCTCGCTCTCATTAACTATAATTAAATTATAATGATCGTTCATAATGCGCCATACCCTGAAATTCCCAAGGACACCCCATGAAATGGAATGAAGATAGATTGATCATTAAGGATGATAGTTCGCAGAAACGGCCGTGTCTGGAGTCAACAGTGATTGCCACTTCCAATACAGTCATCTAGAACACAGGCAGCTTCAGCATGTCCAGGATCCTGGCTAAATTCATACTACCATTCCAGTGCACTGTCACCCGGTGTCCTCAGTTGATTTTTCATAACTCTTTCCATGTATGATGACCCGCACCACCTCTGCTTCCATCTTCCTGCTCCAGTCTGCTATATATACTCTGTTTTTCTCTTCGTTTTGAACTGATGAAACTCCCACTGATCGAAAAGTTTGCCTCATTAAAATGTCCTTGTGCTATGAATATCTACCCACTTTTGAGGGTTAAGATCTGGACATAAATATTCCTTATTACAATAGTAAAACAATGATGAGGAGTATCTCAGAAGATATATTCCTCGAGGTAAAATGAGACCCGTTGTATAAACCAGGATCCTTTCTAATTAATTAGTAGAGGAAAATAAACAAAAAAAAAAAAGAGAGAATTTTTGAAGGAACCTAGAAGAACGAGAGAAAGAGAGGGAACTTGGAACTGGGATTTAGGCAAAAAGAGACCTTTAGGAGACCTAAGTGCCAAAGAGACCTTGGTGGATAGCTCTAGTGGGCAGGCGAGTGTAGCCAACTGCTGGAAATTAATCCCGTAACAACCAAGTAGAAGATTATTTTATTTGCACCTCCTCATATTTATTCTCTGCGTAACTTTTATATCATTTACTGACCTATTAATCATGCGTATCAAATATAATTTAATCGTTTTTTCCTATATGTTTATTGTCCATAACGGCTTTACTCCGTTACGGGTATACTCACAGAAATACATAGTAAAGTGTCGAGGCTACTACACATCTAATTTACTTCAATTCCTCCACCTTGATATTCACTTTATTGTATTATAATAGCAGTGCGAATACAATAAGTGGTGGTTGAATATGAAATTGGAGGAAGGAAGGTTATTCATTGCACCGATATCCATTCAGTGACAACCATTATGTTGATAGACGGCAATTAAAAGGCTCATTACCCTCCATTTGCGAATGACATCAGGAGTTTGTAAATACGATATCAGTTGACTCTGACTCTCAACGGAATTCCCTTAACCTCATTATTATTATTATTATTATTATTATTATTATTATTATTATTATTAGTCTTATCATTATTTTCAGTATTTTTATTTATGTTTTTATTATTGTTGTTGTTGTTGTTTTTATTACTGATGCTATTTTGGAGTCGCTGGACCATAATTGACAGGTAGTAATTAAAAAACACTTTAAGCAGGGAAGACGTTTATATTATGACCTTTCATCTACGGCAGGGCTTTATCAAGTGCCTGTTAAAGTCCCACTGTTGGTGAAATGCAGCAAAATAAGATTTTCTTACCTGTTTAATCGCCTGACAACCTTTGGCAAAAATGAGTTTATTTCTAAGGCGCCATAAGATAACACTTGGGGTTTCTTCCACTGTCTCCAGTACAGTACTGTAGTTGCCTCTGTACTGGACTGATGAAGCCACCAGTGTTGCACATGTGTCTAGTTTATCAACTTCTCGGTTCTTTGAACAATTTATCAACAAAAAAAGCGCCTGTTGCGCAGAAGAAGAGTTTCGTCGGTAAATATACCCAAGTGCTGCTCATGTGTCTTCTTATAAGCTTGTCGGTATTGTGTGCCATTAATGTAAAGATACCATATACTTAATAGAGAAGCAATCTCCGTTAGAGCTTCTCTCAGATTAAAGTGTCTCCCATCTGAATGAAGCAATTCATTAATTCATCTGGTTAAGAGATGGGGGCTATAAATATCGACGACCAATTATCCTTCCATGGAGATATAATCCTTTTGTGGAATAATCATAACGTGAGGAGGTTTATATTAAGCTATAATGCTCTCTAGCAGATTATCTTGAGACTCTTTACTCTTTGTGTTGCAGGTAGTTCTGAAGAAGATAAGATGAAATAATTATTAAAAATGCTTCTAGCTCGAGTCCATATACATACGCATATGCAAACACACACACACACACACACACACACACCACACAACACACACACACACACACACACACACACACACACTCCACACACACACACACACACACACACACACACACACACACACACACACACACAACACACACACACACACACACCTTAGACTCATATAACCGAATAACCTCTTCAGCCAATGCTGGCCCGGCAGATCTGAGAGTGATCTTCAGGAATCTCGTCAGTCATTCCGGGTTCTTTATACAACATACATCATCCCCATAAATTACAGGAAATTAGTAGACATCTATTATATTAATAATAAAAATTATATTAAAGTAGTATATATTTATAATGTTAGCCATAGAAATTACAGTAAATGACGTAATGTTCAATAGGCATAACACCTTCATATAATTTTTCTGGAAGTTAGTTGCTCCTTAATTGCTGGTTCGATTCCATGATTGGGCCCTAGATATAATAATTTAATCGAGAGGTTAGCGCTAAACCTGTATGGGGTTATTATAGCGCTTGAGGAATGGAAGATAATCAGCAATTAATCCAAGGAAGAGTGTGGGGGGAGGTTCCAATTTCTTGGCTCAAGAACTCATGTCGAACATCAAGGCATCTCCCACGAAGGATCTGGGCTCTGTACACCAGATTTCTTATCCCTTTCGAAGTAATGCGGTTGTCGTCAGCTTTAGGCAATTGTCGGTTTGAGGCAGTAGTTGTCGGTTTAAGGTACCTGTCGTCGGTTTGAGGCAGTTGTCGTTGATTTACAGCGCTGTATGACCCGTGTGGGTATAGCGCCAAGTTTTAATGATAATAATAATAATAATAATAATAATAATAATAATAATAATAATAATAATAATAA